GCCGCCACGCTCCCGCCGTCGGCGGCAGCTCCATGAACACCGGCGCCGGCGTTAGTGTGCAGATCGCGTCGTGCTTAGATATTAACATTCTTAAAAAATAATGTTCCCTACGAATTAGAATTAATTCTGACATCCAGATGTCAATGTTAAAACAGCGTATTTTTTTTACTCTTACAAGCGATTGAATTATAAAACTTTAAGGTTAAGGTTTAAGGGGAAAAAACTTCGTATTCATACTCTTCATCACATTTTCTTGCTCTTATTTTTTCTTACAATTACTTATTAAACTGGTGTGATTGTTATACATTTTTGATTAGTAAAGGGCCTGTCCACCAAATTCTCATTATCTGATAACAATCCAACTTGTAAAATATGTGATGGAAATGTCGGATTTTGTTCCCTTATCTGTCGTGACGTCATTTTTAAGCTATCTAGGCCTCTATCAGCCAGTGGTGGGACAGGCCCTTATTGTTGAATGAAGCGGCAACATTGTAGCTGTGTTGTTGCAGAAGAAGACGTTCACAGTGGTGCACGGCGGGCGCGCGGCGGGGCTCACGCTGGACTGGGCGAGCGGCTTCTCGCTGAGCGAGGGCACGCCCGGCGCGCCGCCCGTCTGGACTTACAGGTGAGGAACACTTCGTTTCTAGCCTTTCACTGATTGCAGTATTTAAATTAACTATTTTTCTTTTGTAATAGGTTTTCACAATTAAGAGGTTCGAGCGACGACGGAAAATCAAAGTTGAAATTGCATTTCCAGGACACGGAGACCAAAGTTATCGAGACCAAGGTGTGCTATTGCAACAAATTATCAAAATAACATACTTGTTGAATTAATTGCTTAAATACTAAATATGTGTGAATTGTTTGCAGGAGTTGGAGTGCCAGATCCTGCAAAGCCTGCTGTTCTGCATGCACGCCTTCCTCACGGCCAAGGTGGCCTCCGTGGACCCCGCCTTCCTCGCCTCCATACACCAGTCCAACTGAACCTTGAGTACTGATTACTTTCGTTTTTATATCGATAGTATTTTCCCAGTGCGATAACAACTTTAAGCACTAAGTAATACAATCGAATTTTGATTGAATTTATCATTAAGCTTGTTTAAAAAAGAATTGCTCATGTTTTAAATTTTTAAATTATAAACAATGTTGTGAAAGATTAACAAAGGTTCGTTTTCTGTATGATTAATGTTTGAGATATATAAATGTAAATGTTTAATGTACAATAGATATGTACAATGTTTTTTTTTAATAATTATTAGGATCTGATTAAGTAAGAAAATAATAATTTACTTTTTACTTTATTACTAATCGATTAAAAGTGTTATGTGCTGTTGAGCCGAGGCCTAACGGATGATAAAAGCGAATTTTCATTGTTTAGCTTCACTTTACTTGTATTTCGAATGAATTTTGATTATATGTATTTATTTAGACTACTCTTTATATATTTAATTGCTGCCTGCATGACTAGTCTTCCTCTAAATCTATATTCAAGGATTATTTTAGGTTAGGTATTTTTAGCTAGTTCAAATTAGTTCTCAATTAATACTTTATTTAATGACTTGTTTTTGAATATACACTTTAATGTATCGAATATCATAGAACTATGTTCTTTTGGGTAGTAAATGTAGGAGTCAAGTAAAAGTTATTTTGTTTAGTTACTTTAGAGTCTACAAACATTTACTTGTAACAGTACCTAACATGTGTTGTATTCATTGCATGATACATAACATGTGTTAGTGAGATCTTTTAATTGTTTTCTCTCACAGTAACACAATCTCATTATTTTTTATTAAGCAATTATTATTTTTAATCTCAATATAAATTATTGACTGACTGCACCAAAGATTTCAAGTATTTTATCTTTGTGAATACTAAAACTTTCGCATTTTGTTTAGATTTAAGAATAATTAACACGTAATTTGCATTTATTTATATAGCGTTTAGTAATGTCGTTACCTTTATTAGGCTTTGTAAGTTTCTATTCAATGCTCCTACGTTCATAAACATCAAGGACATTACAAATTCTTTGTGAAGTAGATTGTATAGTGGCTTGAAATGTACACATGAATTTACAGTATTCCATACATTTTTTTCTTAATGACACAAAATGAAAATTTGAATTAATATGTTAATCGTTTTAGAAGTTTTATGAAATTTGAGTTTTGCCATTCGGCCTAAAAAATTCCGTGTGTACATTTCACGTCGCATTAGTGTAAGTGACTTTTGCGTTCGCGTCATATCATTACATATAAGCATAAATAGTAACGCCATAGCGTTGTCATATTTATTAGATTACTTTTAGATGTTTGTTGTTTGAGCTATATTTTTCATATATTTATCTAAATTGATCTGCCCGATGCAAAATGGCTCTATTTACTAGCGTAGTCATAGTCCTTGACGAAAATATGTGCACGTTCATAGATGTTTGACACAAATTGTGCTGTTATTTAGCACGATCTTAAGTTTAACGAGACAATTAGTTAATGCAAAGGTTTATGTATGGATGTTTGTTAGAGTTTGTTGCCCAAACTGCTGCGGATTGATGTAAGGCATAGATGTTGAGGATCTGGAAGAAAACATAGGCAACTTACTTTTGTTTTTAACACGCGGAAGGATTTGCGGGCGAAAGCTAGTAATTAAAATAAAAATTACAAGAATAAACAAAGACACAGTCTATGTACGTGCAGATGTGTTTGTTGGTTTGTAACTTTCTGTAGCGCATTGAATGTCCATATACGTCCCACGAAGATTCTATCACATTATATGTTAGTTTAATAAATCAAAGAGTACTGTTAGCAGAATAGTCCGGAGCGTCTTTTTTCTATATTTATCTTAGTGAAACTAACAATTTGCACATATCTTTTTCTAATCTAACTTTTGAAATAAATGTAATAAAATAAGATTTCTCAGTAGCGATTGTATGGGCATTTAAAAATGTATTTTAACGATTTTATAATGATTAGTTTCGAATACTATTTAAAGTACTAAATGATGTTTTTTAAGCTTGTCACGTAAATATTTCAATCAAAGAATCTAGAAGCCTCATTGAACGTGTATCATTTATTCCGCTTAAATTTGTGTCTAGATCATCTAAAAAAAAAACATTTTCATATCACAACGTAATAGATAGTCGCATACTCACTATTTTCTAAATCAGTTTTTTTTTCATATTTGATCCTTTAGTATTTTTACTACTATTCTCTCCTCCTTAGTCATTTCTTTGTCCTGTTTTGTCAAATTGTTAACATATTAAGTTGTTACTTTAAGCGGAATAATGATGAAATAATTAGTCAATTTAGAAGAATTCCTCAAGACTGAAGCAAGGAAGTGGGACTTTGTATTTCGTACGCGGCCGTGTGCTAGGTTGTGTAGAGTCAATTATAAAAAGTACATCACTGGAACATTCCAACGAAAATAATAACACATTGTAAAAGCCCATTTGATTATAATTATCAAGAAGGTTAACGTCAATTAGGAAAGATATGTTTTGCATTGAAAAATGCAGACGACAAAATGTGCTTGTTCGTTTCAGAACACTTCAGAAATAGTTACATATGGCCGCGATCTCATTCCCGTTTTCTCATTAGAGCAAAATATGTCTTAGCGCGTTGTGATAAGGTTTAAGATTACTTGTTTCAAAGAGTTTTATTTACAATTCACTATTTATTCCTCTATAGATGTAGATAGCTACGATTAGTTAAGCTGGGAGCAACATTTCACTATAGTTGTTTACTTTCCTAGCTATAAGGGTCTGCATACTACGTTTATTGTAAAACGTCATTATGAGCTGTTAGTGCAGAGTGATTAGACCCTACAGTTTTAATCTAATATGAAACTTCGATTTAATACATCGAAAATTAGATACATTATAAAATTGTATTTAAAACGTAACTTGAACGAACTTATATGAATTAATTGTTCTATTTAATATTTATATTAAGGTATAAAAACAACTTTAATTACTTGGGCAAGTTATAGAATCATAAATGTCGGTCCAAATGTACGCATGTAGCCGCCAAATAAATAAATGTAGATAGTTATCAATGTACTTATTGTATTTGAAATTAACACATTTGTACCTATTTTAATGTATTCTTGTTTGCTCTGTTTATGGTTTTAGCGTAAAGTAAATAAACTCTCCAGTTACTTACAAGAGGGAAGAAAACAGTTAAATATAGGTAGAAGATGCGTTTTACTTTGAAATAATTTGCATTTGTTTCCGACCTCTATCATGTCAATATTTAAAGGTCAGTCAATTTGGTAAATCGCTCGATCATTGTCCATTAACGTGTACATAGTTCGGTCTCACGTCTAGTAACTAACATCAAGACAATATTTAAATGTAGGCAATAAGTCTGCACGGAGCGGCCGTCACCTGCAATACATTCTACAATGTATACAGATATGAGAATTAAAACCGGAGTCAGCCCTAACTTGCCAAGAAATGTACACGTAATTTCAATTCAAATGTTTTCTTAAACAAAATTAACCTAATAAAACTCATGTTGTCATAATCTAGATAAATTTACGAACTTCAATAAAGAATTATATTAGTAAAACTTTGTTTTAAAATTCGGCTTAAACCTGCGAGGCTGACTCCGGCTGTGAGCGTAGCTTGTATACTGTGTCAGACTTGAAACCACGTATTGTACTAGTTAGTGGTTATATGCCTAGTTACTTATACCCATTGTTGATTATATACCTACGATATACCCATTAGTAAAATGTATATTGAAAAACTTGACTTTTATTTCATTGGATCACACATTCTTTTTGTTGTATGTTCCCTGCAGGAACCCTAACCCCTTCCCTTCTACACAAGTCCAAATTGTGTTATTAAATAAAAAATATATATTTATTTAATCTTTTTATTACAAGCGTCAGAGACAAAGAAAAGCTACACAATATAAACTATTAGAAGCAACATTCATCACACATTTTAATAATACGAAAACTAACATTTAAATAGAATTTATATAAGTAAAGATTCATAAATGTTAAAGTAAGAAAATGTAACATAGAAAGCAGTTAAAGACGACATTTTAAAAAAAAGTTGCCATTTCCTTTAACATCCTGTGTAGCTGGTTCAAAAATGTAATATTTGCTAACAGTGTTAAATAGAAAAATAATTACCTAGTATAATTAGCTTAATTTAGAAAAATATTTTTTATTTGTGTATACCACTTTCATAATTTACCACGTTTTACAAGATATCGAAAATATGTTGGCATTTATTTTTAAAATATCTACTGAATTGCACAAATTAAATAAAAGGAGATGTTCACTGACACTAAAATAAAATTTAACATAGTATGTCATGAAAGTGATACTAACAAGAGGAACTTTTTCCTAAATGTTTCCGAATTTATAATAACTATGGTGATATGTGTTATTTGCAGAAGTATAATCTACAAAGTAAACATTATTGTTTAATAAATAATCTCTTAATAACTTCAACTACACAAAGAAATAGAATATACAAAGTGAACAAGAACCGAGTTGGAATAGAAGTGCGACAAAGCGACACCTGGCGGCTACGACATTAAACATCCAATAACTAACATTTACATCGGCACTTCTAAACGGAAACATCTAATACTGTATTAAAGTTGAGAACATGTTGTGCGTGTATGTTACCAGGCTACGCTTCACATAAGCTTACACTAACGAGGCTAAACAAGTCCTCCTTCAACTATAGATTCAAAAAATGATTCGCGCATCGATCCGTCCGACACGTTACATGAAGACTCGCGCATTCACGTTAAAAAAATACAAATTTCGATAAATATTTATCAAGTCATGATAGTATCTAGTCAGACATTTATTGTCACATTTAGTTTAACATTATCTTTATTGTCTACAATAGAATTACTAATCTTTACAAAGTCGCTATCTACGTCGTACTTTTTAGATATTACTGTATAAATAATTGATATTTTTTTCGACATAATCGTCCAAAATCGATGAATTAAATTGACCAATGATATTGTATTTGATTCGGCCAAATTATTGATGTTTAAGTTTTTTTATTGGTTGGTATGTTCGAGGACGTCTCACGAGGAATATTGCGAGAGCTAAGAGGCCGCAGCGCTACTGACATGAACACTACAATTTTAACGTCTAATACACAACCTTTATATTTGCCTGTAATATATATTTCTCAGAACTATTTACCTACTTGTATAATGAAGTCCGCAAATAGCTAATTTAGAATACATCCTTCCATACATTAAAATTTAGATTTTACTCATCTGTTATATTTAAAACTATTACATAGCAAATTAAAAATGTTAATATATTACAATATTACTGTATCTAATTGTCTCGCAAGCGAAGTAGGATTTGATCACAGTATGTCAGTTTACATTACAATGCTATATTTATTGTCAAATTGCACATACAAGTTAGAACACACGCTATTTAAAACATGTATTACGGTTACGTTTCGGAGCCAAACCAGCTCAAAATATCCCTGAACACGTAAGAATCTATTTAGAAAAAGTTCAACATTGATTATTATCTAAATATAATGTATACGACATTTAATATTAAGTAATGACACAAACTCTGAGCTGTGTCGGACTATGTTTTTACACTTAGAGTGAACATGTCAACTACATGTTCAGTATAAAGCCAATTACCAATGCATTTCTTGTTTATTTATAATCTTTATGTATCTTGAGTGTTTTACACACTAGGCTGTTCCTAAAACAACGCAAGCGATACTACTGAAGAGATTGGGATTTAGAAATGACATTTACAAAAGGTTAAAGCATAGCGGGAAGACTGAATACGTTTTTGACATTGATAGAGTCTTTCCAGATAACGAATTATATAAAAAAACTACGGATTAAGAATTAATTATTTCTCCCTTTGTCATTTGTCCTTCGTACCATCATATAGTATGTGGGAATGAAAACAACTTCGACGTCATAAATTACGTATCGTCAAGTTAAAGATTTTCATTAGAAATAAATACAATTTAACATATAAAGTGAGTAAAAAAGAAGGTTTGAGGTTAGGATTGACAGATAGGAAACGCTAGAGCGGGTTCATCTACTTCCTCTATGCTAGTTCCTACTGGGATTACTAATTATTCTATTCGTGTAAAATTAATAGAAATATCGTTATTATGTACACTTCTTACAAAGACTATTTAAGTTCGTATAGTATTTATAAAGTAAAATTTTGAAACAGTACGTTACCGAATATACGAAACTCGTTAAAAGAAAATTGTATAAATATACTATGATTAAGGAATAAATACATAACAATTCATTAAAGTGTTTCAAAACATTTCGATATTAAATATTTCTTCTATTCAAAACAATTTAAATAAATACGACTGAGAGGTTTTAACAAAGTGAGGTTCATACGTGGTATAACATAGTATAATATAGTGGTTTTTAATAATTATTGTCTTAACAATATCATGAGTTATATAAAATTCCCAACATTTTTACTCTAGTAGAAAAGCTCGAGTTAAGAAGGAGACTCATAAGAAGTCGACAACCTTACGTCAGCAAGCGCAAACGTTAGTCATCGATGATGTAATAGAAGACCCAAACTGTACGCCGGCTCTTCCACGAGACTTCCAGATACTATCTGCCAGGGAGGAAATATGAGCAGGAGTGTACCCGCCACATCGCTCTATGAAAAATTGAATTGTGCGCACTTTGTGCAAAACGCGAGCCACAATACGGTTTGGATCTCACTATACCTACATCACACAACTAACATCCAGTCAGTTTGGTCTGCAGTTCTACGATCCAATTTTGTGTTTTTAATGAATAACTTAGATTAAAATGAAAGAAAGTTCGTGTCTACATTCGTTTTTCGATTGTCGTGAACCATAATTTAGTAAATGTGAAATTACGAAAGGAATGTAAATTTTATTTTACTAATTTTATATATTTCTTTCTTTTATTTAAATCCTGCCTCAGTAATGAATAAATAATATTTATTACAACTGAAATATGTAATGAAATTAGGCAACAGTTTCCTTTGCTTAAGTTGTGCAGACCGCACCGACTGACTTCCGCTGCAGGCTGTATATAACTACGTCTAATAAATATATAATATACAAGTATTACCCGTTACAGTAACTTTGAGCATATCATTTATATTTCAATTACATTATTAACGCAATTTAATTGTTATATAAAAATTTCTATAATTTTGCAAATATAAACTATTATGGCACAGATATGTAAACCAACAAAAATAAAATGTTGTACATAGGTAAATTGAGAGATTGCCAAATAAAAATATTTGCTGAGTAAAGATCGCCTATTATCTAAATAAAACTCTTTCCGTAATCTACATCTACAGTTTTTTTTTTAGTTGATATTTTCGCTAGTTATGATTTTTCTCTTACAAACTATTAAAGCTATTTTAATAATTACATAAATATTGTCACTTTTTCAAATGTAAATATTTCAATGTTTGAACATAATTGGAGATAGATTATTTATCAATAACTCAACTAAATATATTTATTGTCATTTTAGGGAAGATCTATCTAGAACATTTATCTTATTCATAAATAGACGACTTCGTTTGGATGGAGACCGGTACTGATAAAAATATTGACACATCTGCATCCAAACGACGCATAAGTACGTTACAACAATTGGTAAGCCCTCGACTAACACTACAACATCAAACGTCAAACAAACGCACTAACACTGGAACACACGAGACAAATAAAAGCGCATCATGTAAAAATGTCTAAAGCTTTTCTCCACTAACAGCTACTTCCTTTACCCTAAAGCGACTTAAGATTCCTAAACATCAGTATAAATGCGACTTAGCGTCACGTCTCGAGAAAAAGGTTTCGAGAGAAAATGACAAAGTTTATTTAGAAAAAGTACCTCGACTCGTTATTGTATAGTTGAATACAAGAACGCGGCGTGTTGTCGCGCTCGGGACAACTATCACAGCAACTATCTGCCGCCACGCGCGACACTACACCGATTATATACTTACTATTTATACATTTTTAATATATATTGTCTTTTCTTGTAAAATTATTGTCCAAAGTTTAAATATTATTGTCAATGAATTATTTATTATTGTCAATAGTTTCCATTTCCTAGTTTTCGTATAAATATAAATCTAGTAACACAGTTATGACGCGGTTAGAACAATTATGTGTTCACCATTAATTTTGGAAGTTTTCTCATGTCCATGAAGAATCGATGTTCCTTAATTCAAAGTTTTACCAGTACGATTATTTTACGGCGTTGAAGAACACCGCTACCAATCAATATCTGCGACGATCTCAAGAACTACTGAACCGGCCTTTTAAACGACACGTCGATATTTTAACAAGAAAATCTCCGAATAAAAATGGTGCAACAGTTCCCACGTCCAAAGTGCCAAGGCGCTCAGTTTAGGTGTCCTCGGAGGGCGCGTCGTCGTCGTTGTAAAGTTGCAGCTGGCGCAGGATCCAGGGCACGTATGTGGGCACGTAGGCGTAGACGCCGGGCAACCGCGGGTGCGCGCATTTGATGCCCCACGACACGATACCGCCCACGTACCAGCGTGATGGGTCCTCGGGGTCCTTGCACAGAAGCGGGCCCCCTGAGTCACCCTGTAGTTCACAAATTCATATCAAGCCAAAATTTTCTACAAATCTGTTAAATAGGCCGATCATGTAACGGCCTACATATTATGATTACATCCTACTATGGGCTATGTTTCAAAAAGTTAAAATCTTCAAATGAGACAAAAAGCGAGAGTGTTACCTGGCAAGCATCTTTGCCACCCTCGGGGTAACCAGCGCAGACCATGCCCGCGGTGACGTTGAGGTCGCGGTGCTCGAGCCACTGATTGCATAACTCGCGGCTCAGCACCGGCACCTCCACCTCGTTCACCGCCGGCTCGTACTCCGACACTGAACATACGAAATTTCATCAAGCCCCGCTCGCTGGCTGACGCCAACTTGTTACCTGATAATGGGTATACTGACTGTCTTTGTCGTCACGCTTGCCCCAGCCGATGACGGTGCAAAGCGTGCCGGGTAGCAACGCACGCCGCGCCGGTGGCAGGCACACCGGGGACAACTGCTCGTGGTAACGCACGCGCACCGCCAGCTAAGACATCAGACATGACATTAATATCTCAGCATTTACGAATTACTATGTAACTCCGCCCACCAGTCTATACATCTGTGAACTACAAGTGTGCGGACGTGGTACCTGGAAGAGGGCGATGTCGTTGTCGTGCGCGACGCCGACGTTATAGAGCGGATGCGGCACGACGCGGCGCACCTTCACCTTCTGGCCATAGTAGGCGTGCGAGCGCCGCCGCGTGATGCCCAGCTGGATCGTCCAGCCATTCACGTCGGAGTGGCTGTTATAGAAATATCAGATAGTTCACGACTGCAACGGAAATTAGAAGTAGGACTGAAACAGGACTAATTTTTATTCCATTAGTTTCAAGTTTGATGATAAAAGGTGCCCTTCTCTTAAAAGGCAAAATCTGCGATCCTCGTCATCAATAAATATATATAGACAGTGACTCACTTGCCGACACAGTGCGAGGCGGTGAGGACCCACTGGTCGGCGACGAGCACGCCGGCGCAATAGAAGACCTCCTCGGGCCCGCCGAGTATGGCGGCCAGGAAGGGCCAGTCGCCGGGTGAGGCCTCCACTCCGCCCACTATACGCTTCGTACCACCGCCTATTGTCCGACGCTTGCCGCACTCTACACACATATTAAAATATTACGTACTCAGTTTTATTTATAAAGATAGTCAATAATTTACACTGTTTGTCTACAACTCAAAATTTAAAGGATCGCTCTCGTACAAACTTGAAACGTAAACTGTTTATTGAATTCCGATTCCCATTTCATATTTGCTTATAACCTAGTTTCAAACTTGACTTGTTCAATTAAAAGTTTGTTGATTTGCCGCAATATTTTGCCACCGGTCGCACGCCTCGCTCCGATCTTCAATACGTATAATACTTAGTGAGTTTATTATAAGTCTATTTTGTAAGTTATTTGGTATAACAGAATCAATGATGCGCTTAATATAAGATAATGATTATTTTATGACGGTGAAATTAGACGGTCAACCGTATGTATGTCCAAATATTAGAATTTATCTGCTTCGTTTCAAGACTTTTGGTATAAAACGTACAAACGTGTAATGGAAAACTCCGAGTTGTTCATTCATCACAGTGACAGGCTTCTGCGGTCAGTTGCGTAATGATCTGGATCTGTCGGAGCGCTGCGTTACTTGAAGTTGAAATATAACCCCTTTTTATATTCGCTGAGTCAACCGATGTGAATAAAAACTCATACATTTACGACATTTAAATAATGAATACGAGCGCATTTGAAGAAGTTTTTGTTATTATCATTGTTGTAATGCTGTGAAGTCTTAGTAATTATAGTATACATACTTGTCATGTTGTAGTAAGATGCTTCAAATATTTTAACTAAATTATACTTAAGTGTCAAGACTAATGTGACATTTCAAACACAAAACCACTTGCGTGGCAACCCTTAATTGTAGCTACGACTGTGCTCATTTGTAAATGTATTTGTGGATTATAAAACGAGATGTCGATGTTACAAATAGCGATGGCTTCGAGTTCGTAATTTGCTTGCTTAATAATTAATAACACATTTATCCCGCGCTCCTCAGGACCTACCTGATGTTTAATTAATTCAGAGGAGCGTTGCGATGCGGCCGGAATAATTTAATTTACTGATTAACTCTACTTTCAGCCGAGCACAGTTTTTAACGTAACCGTCGAGAGGCTTGGGTCTGCACTATTTAAAGGGCTAAGATAAACTTGCTTGCCTTGTGTGAATTGGTTCATTTCACGCGTATTTTTGTTCTTTATTGTTACTTAACCCAGAAACTGGTTCGGGAGTAAGACGATCAAATTAACTTTATTGAATGTTACTGTGCTTTACAAGGTTTGTAGATTTTATAATCAGTTAAAAACAGATAAAAAATATGAACAAAAGATTTCTCCAAAACACGGACACGTAAGACGATTATGGAAATATTCCTATGGGAATTAAATTAATAAGGTAAAAGAATTCAATTTCTTCATTTGTCTACGTCGGTTAAGTTTTTCTTAACTCAGAAGGTGCAATTAATTGAGAACGACAAGGACGGGGGACAACTTTAGCGAGCAGTAATTTGTTTTTCTGTTGTAATTTGCGGGGATTACAAAAACTTTAATTATATTTGAGATGGAGAAGCTTCGGGCTGCGGCAGGTGCCGTCCGGCTCAAGACAAAACTGCTATTTACATAAATTAGAAAGATAATTTCTATCTACTTCTGTCTAACTTGTCTATGAAAGAGACAAACAGTATGAGTGCATGACATGTAACTTATCCAAATGCGTTAATATGACGAAAAAATTGATATTTTCGTTTTCTTAACTCAGATATTAAAAATATTCAAGAATACAATTGTAATGTACCTACCATTGTAATTTAAAGGGAACATGTAAATAAAAGAATTAACTTCCGAACCGTGAATCAAATCTGTTTGCTTTGCAACAAAAGGGTTTCGCTTAGATTTCAATTTGATGAAGGGGCTGACTTCAAGGTACGCACAAAGACATTATCAAAGGGCCGTAGCTTTAATTTTTTTACCCGTAAAAATTCTGTATAAACGCAAAAGTCTGCGGCAGATTTTATTTTCGTTGATGAGAATTCTTTATGACAAAGGTGTCTTTGTTGTTATTGTGACATTATTTTTTACGATCTCCCGATATTGATAAGTTTTATATCACGCGTGGGACAAACACACTCCCAGATGTGTAACGATGTTGTCGTGAAACGAAATGAAATTTCATGACTTTAATAAACCAAAGGAAAGAACAGCACAGGTTTACCACCATTGAATTTTCATACATATGTTACATAAATTATTTAACGTTACAATGAACTTACAATATTTACGAACCGAAGTGAAATTGATTTTGGCGGAGAAATTCAACATCAGTTTTCGTGATCCTAAAAGTTGGTCCAAACTTTTCATTGTACAAATGTTTTAAGTGAAGTATTTTGTTCGAATCACGACTTTGTAATGAAATAATATCTTTGTTATTTAGAATGTATTAACTTTTGTCAAATGTTTAACATTGCATATAAAACATGGTCGCTTCCCGCTTTCTGTCTGTATCTTTGTATGCTTATACATACAAAGATACAGACAGAAAGCGGGAAGCGACCATGTTAGTGAGTAGTTATTCAACTGAATTTGGTGCACTGATTTAAATAGATAGAGTGACTTAAGAGGAAGGTTTATATGAATAGTATGGTGGAAAAATTTCGTGCGCATACATTTTAATAAACAATAAATCATTAACTACTTGGTGGCCTTAAAATAAGGAGAGAAAGTTAATTTTGAATTTACCAATTTCACGCGGATGAAGTCACAAGCAACAACTACTCACCGATAAACCTTCGAACCTTTCTGTATCGTTATTGTGTATTAAATTAATAGGTAAATCTTCTTATTTTCCAAAGAAAATAATAAAATGTTATGCAGCCGAAATATTGGAAGAAAGATTTGTTCAATTTTATATGAGTACATATTTTTTTCGCTTTAGTTTTGTGTTATTTTCCTGCGAAATAAGCGGATAACGTGTTTTGTTATATTATAATCTTATTAAACGTAAAGTGATTCGTTTTTGTATGTCCACATTTGTTACAAAAAATATTACAAAAGTACCTTGCGTTAGATTGTTAGCAAGGGCCTTCGACATAGTAAAGAAAGTTGGCAAAATAAAATTAAGGAGAAATCTGGAGGTTATAACAACCACCCCCTGCTGCCCACTCCTCGCCCCGACAAGGTGCTTCAGCAGTAACTGACTTATTGACAAAGTTTGCTAAATTACCTTTTTTTATGTAATACCTGTATCCTGCCCTGGCTTCACTCGAGTTAATATTTATATTTTAAACGTTCAAAAAACAATATAAATATTATATGTTTTACTGTTGATGTAAAATTCTGATAGAGAAAAATCATTGAAATCTCTTTCTTAGTTTTTACTTTATCCGTTACAAAAGTACGAAATATTATATTTTACAAAACGAGTAGATTTTTTATTATTTCTATAATCAGTTCAAAGGTAAACAACTTTATTGTTCCTTGAAAAAGAACTTAAGTATTCTTTTTCTTTTACGTTTGTAAAGTATTTTTCCACAAATCTGTTCCGAATGAGAAGCGGTTTCGTTTCATCTTTGACTTCCTTGTTGACGACATCCGCGACAATATTTCGATAAACATTATGTTTATTACAGAATTGTACAAATTACGTTACAGCAGTTTTTTTTTTGTTTCATTTCTGTTTGTCGACAGACTTTTGTTTGTATTACACTGCTCTTACATTCGTATTGAAAAAAATGTGTATTTGTCGTTTCCCAGAAGGTATTCACATTTACGCACGACGTACCATGGTCTAGAGATTTAAGCCGATAATGATGACGAATTATGATATTTTTTCGAAATGATATATTGTAAGGTAATTTACGTAAAGGTCACAAGACAAAACGAGCGTGTTTGTGAAGTAGGTGTAACAATATGAGTACTAGATGTTCCCGTGTGACTCCGCGTAAAATTATGAAAATTTTATTTTATTGATGACATGACTTGATGACAACTTTGCTTTCTTGATGTTGGCAGCAACTTATGGTCTCTTTCCCACGTTAGGGTTTTTATCCAAAATATTTACCCCTAAGCTTAATGACGTGAAAATATATAGCCTAAAGCGTGACGTATATGTAGAGCTTTTTATGACAAAATGGAGTATTCAAAAATATGTTGTAATTGCTTACATCTTAGGCAACAAAGAAGTGTAACACACACTTCTTTGTTGCCTAACGCTTTATTATAAAAGTATAGATGAATATTTTATACAACTTTGATCGAAGAATATACGCGGCTTCAGAACGTAACGGAGTAAAAGCAATTAAAAGTAAGTTTGTTACCGAGATTTAAAGAAACCGAGCAAAGGCTTAAAAGAAAAAAGTACATTGAAACTTTTTTAATTGAGCATCAAACCACCGGTCGATTATTAAGAATTTAAATACATAATTGAAAGAAATTTTCGAGTCGAGTAGATTTCAATATGAGTTAGCGATTATTTTCCTGCAAACAAAGTAACAACTTATTTAATTCCCTTTGTAATAAAGCAGCGAGCCGAGTCCGGCAGCGCCGCGACGCGCCACTGAGATGCGAACGTTATTTTATTAAAACGGTGGTGGAATGCTTTGCATCGCGCCGGACGACGACGCGACGCGACGCCCGCACGTTCCCGTGTTATTGTTTATTTATGAGGAGCATAGGACGCGACGCGGCGGACGCCCGCTTTATTATCAAGTCTATATACCAAGTGTGTTAACATCGTGCAACATTACAGCGTTTTTTCAATTATGCTAGTTCTGCTTACAATGCAAAAAAAAAAATTGTAACATTTTGATACCAAGGTGACAAAATATTAAACATAATACAGAACTTATAGAAGTACAATCAAATAATTTTCTACGAATACGATAGAGTTGTAATTCTAGTGCCGGTAGACTGGCACCTACAATGGATAAAACAGCTCACCATAGTTGTTGCAGACGAGGTGTATGTGCGCTGAGTCGTGTCGGCAGTCCTTCAGTTCGCGCAGCAGCCCGCCCTCGCGTCGCTGGAAGGCGCGGAAAGACTGCGCCGCGCCGTGCTCGTGCTCTACGTGCGCGTGCTCGGCGTGCGCGTGCTCCGCGTGCTCGGACCCTACGTGGGCGTGCGTGCGCCCCGCGCGCCCCATGCCGCCCACTGTGCTACTCCGGTTCACCAAACTACGACAAGTTACGAAATGAACACTATTAAATCGGACACAGATTTTAATTGTTTCGGAGAGAGCGACATTTTTAATTTTTTTAACTGGGTAGTATATAAATAATTCCAGTCATATAAATAAAGCATCAGGTATTTAGGGTAGTGTGAACTAACGTGTATCCGAGCATAGCGCAGAGCTTGTGCGCGGTGGGAGGGTCGAGCGCACGCGCGGCCATGCAGGCGGGCGCCCAGGACTGGTTGGCGGCGCGGAACACCTGCAGCTCGCCGCGCCCGACATCACCCGTCGCCTCACTCAGACGCACTGACACACAAACATCTGTTCACGCATCTATCCCGTACATGGGACAGCAGGTACTGTTTCCAGTATGTACTGTTTCCACACCAATAAAATTTATTTATCGGAGCTCTAGTGACTATTTTACCCAGTATGAGTTCATTTGAGAGGCATTCATTTAGTTTATATTAACTGACCAACAATCTACAGATGCAACATTTAATTTGATTAATGGATATTTCAGATGAACAAGGTTATAATTGCTCACATACTGATAGAGACACTAAATTGAGTTATGGTCGCATGTCCCTGCGCCGTTGGAAATGATTTACATACAATGAAGCGATCGCTTAGAGAATGAAAGATTTTTATCGCTCGACGTCGGAAATTGGAGAGATTTTCATAATTCATCCTCGCTATTGAATGCAACTGAATTGAAAGCCTACAAAATGGAAACATGAATTTACTGTTAAATTAAATTTAGTGTTTCTGAATTTTACTAAAAAAGGTCTATATTTTAGTCGTCAAAGTCACGATAGATAGAAATTATGTTTAATCTTTTAAGAGAACAGAATAAAAGAAATACATTATTGTTCCTTAAACTATATAGTCGCTGATTTCATCAGTATGTGCAAAATCACAGAGTTCTATAAACTGACCGATTTCCAGCTGCGAGTACGTACATTACATCTCTATAAAATATTGGCTGAAATCCAAGATCAAAATTGCAGTCCGGTCACAAGATTAGAGCGTACTAGCAATATATACACATACTTATTAATACTACATTAAAAAGTAAGAATCACAAAATCTAGGTAATATAAAATAGAACCTATTATTGTACGCGATCTGGACTTATTAGATTTATTACGCATGGATTATTGTGCAAGTTACCCATCGGTTAACAGTACTCACAGCAGTTCCTCTCGTCCTGTCCCCAGGGGCAGTCGACGCGGCCGTCACAGAGGTGCGCCTGCGAGACGCAGCGCTGGTTGCCGCAGTGCAGGTCTGCGCCGTGCTTGCACACGCGGCAATTAAGCTCGTCGGAGCGGTCCGCGCAGTCCACGTGCCCGTCGCAGCGCCAGTCGTGCGGGATGCAGCGCCGCACGTCGCACTGGAACCCGCTAGGACAAACTGCGAACAACGAATAAATGATCTCAGTTGGAGATAGTCAAATAATTCAGAAGATCCCACATTTGCCTTTTCTATAATAATTGCAAAAAAATCGACCAACTATTTGCGCACTAGTAAAGAGAAGTTGAGCAGTTACCCGGCTTGGCGGCCCTGATCCGTGCCTCCTTGACCTCCCTGTTACCGAGGCAGACGTCGGTGTCCGTGGACTCTGGGAATATTTCGCACTGAAGGTAGTCAGGCATCGATAGCCCGAACACTTCCAAGAAGAACCCGCAACGCCGCATCGTTTCTGTTTAATCGTTAATGATTGAAGTATTTAGGATTACACTCGAGACGATAATTCATGGAATTTATTGATTAGATTTATTTCCGAGCGTGCCGCACACGGGTGAAGCTAACCTTGGCAGAGGCTGCGGCAGGGGCGCACCATGTGGCCGAGCGGCCCGCACTTGGGCACGAACAGCGAGCACAAAAACAGCGCCGTCAGCTCATAGCACCGCACGTCCACCACAGCGTCGTAGATCTCCAAATCCTGACATGAGACATTACTAACTATCTGGGACACTTGAAATTATAAATTATTCATATATCTCTCATTCAAATTGAATTGAATCGCTTAATCGAACGGTCATTAATGAACATTTCCCGATTGAGTTAGTAAATCCACTATTGACATATTCCAAAAGTCCATTGTAGAATTCGATCAGTGTGGGTAATGGGCGGCAGAGGTCGGGCGCGGGCGATGTGGGAGCCGATTAAATGATCGGAAGCCGCAAGCACGCGCCCTCATGACGAGGGGTCGACGGCCTGCGATCATTTAGCCACGCTCACATTAAACGAAAACACTAAAAACACAATTGGAATATACGGAAACTTGTTATCACTACATTCAGATAATTTAATGACATTATAGCTTAATCTACTCAATTTTTCTTACAACGATAAAAAATAAGTCTCGTAGCCCTATGCTACGCCACAAGCTACGAAGCGTACGCGGCCGTAAACTAAACAATTATACAGTCCTAGGCGTCGTGAACACGACATCTACAGTAATTAAGGGGTTGCTTTCATCGAAGGGGTATCAATCAATGTCACCGCTACAATGGTGGGTGCGTTTAACATCTGCCTGTCGGAATCCACCGACAAAGGGTTATTTATTAACGCTAGTTGGAGGCAGCGCGGCGTCGACGAATTAAATTTCGCGATCTGCGTTGCCAAGCAAACTGCCTCAATTTAACCAAGGCATAACAGATTATTTATAATTTAGATTTGTCAAACTTGCATAAATTTAATAGCTTTAATAGCTGTTAACAGTTTATTTAACGTTTTTCATTTAAATGTGGTGCATTTTTATTGTATTAATATTAATATTACCATTCCATGTATTTTTTTTTGGTATGATGAAAAATTAAAAGCAGATTTCCTTGTTGTTCTCGAACATCAAAGTCTGTCCTGTGAAATTTAATCTTAAACAATTGATAACATATTAATTAATAGAAGTTAAGGATGATGTCGCTTGGCAGTAAGTCGCGGAGGGAACGAAGTTAATTGATAGTTCCCGTGTGACAGCTCGTTATCACGAACTCACTCACTATCAATTAGTTTGTAAACGCGACACGTTCTGATCTCAACGTCTACCCTTGAATCACGTCCCACTTTCACGATCCCAATCAGCACGACAAACTGGACTGTAACATTGGCTTCCTTGCTTCTAGAACTGCTTTTTTAGTTGAAAGCATTACGTGACATAGCTCACCTGTTGAGCGTCCCTCTGTCCGAAGTGTCCGATGTAGTTGGGGAAGACGGTGAAGTTGTAGGAGATGCGGTGTTGATGGCAGAAGGTGACGATGACGGGCAGGCAGACGCCGGGCGCGGGGTTGCGCGCGCCAGGGGGCTCCGCCGGCGTCGGCCACGGCACTATCACCGACCGGTTCACCACTTGGGATACGTACTGCGGATAATCGTCTTATACAATATATTTTGAATTAAAACTAAACTTTGTTAATGATTTTCGCCATGTTAAGAAGATTAAAATTACTGAGATGTTTTAGTAGAGTTTTTTTTAAAACATTTTAATTAGAGTACTAAAAATTAAGTTAAATAGAATACATTACAAAAGCGGGCATGTAGCGCGCCCTGAGGCATCCCAACATTAACTTTTTCGTACAATGGTCCCACATTCCTCGTCCCTCTACCTCTCAAGATTATTTTGCCCGAAACGTTGCTAATTAAAATGAGATTTTTTGTCAACGGAACAAACGTGCTTAATGTGGGTACACCAGGTACTATGCAGAGAATTTAATTCATTTACATTGTTCACATGAGTAAAAAGTTACAAATGTGTGGCGAGGGCTTAGTCACTCTAAATTACAAATAATTAAAGATAAAAAGTAAAGGTTATTTTCACATTAATATAAACATTTTTATTAAGATGTAGCGCCACTTTTTGGTTAAGGCCAGGGTCACTAAGAACCATCAAATTTGTAAAAACCAACAGAGTAGTTATATTCAAACTAGACTCGTCTCTCTTGTACAACTGTCGACTCGGATAGGAAAACTACAAAAACAATTTGTCTCTACTCGAGTGCTTGAGACGAAGAAAAGTCTGAACGGAATAAACAGCAATTCCGCACTTGACCCACTTCGCGCAGGCGATGAACTGCGGTAAAAGCGCAATCTTATATACGACAAGTCGACACGTTCAAATCACCAGGTCACGTGGAAAAAGTAATGGAAAACCTAAAGGTAAACATTGATAGATTTTCGTTAGATAGTTTTTACCAACTGAATGAATGGTTACCGAAATAATAGTTAAATTCGAAAATTTTCAAAACAAAGCTAAAAAAAGGAACCTCACCTCTTGTAAATTTACTTTTATACCAAATTTTGTACATAATAAGCAGTATTCTACTATAGAGGTTTATCTGTGGGTGAGGTTTAGTGGGAGTGTTGACATTAGGTCGCGGCATTAAACCAGCCGCCGCTGGAGAAAGTCTTGATAAGATGCCGGTAGCTTTTTTGAGTCAGCAAAGACTGCTTATTGATAATTTAAAAAGGATTAACCTAAGTTGTGTTTGTGGAGGTTATTTTAAACTAGTTTTCTAATTTAAAGAGATTAAAAAAAGTGCGTAGCCTATGTGTTCTCCCGGGCTATCCTCTACATCTAACCAAAATTTTCTTGAAATTCATTCAGCCGTTTAGGATACAAACCGTAACAAACATCCATCCATCTATCTAAACTTTCGCTTTTATGATATCAGTGAGTATGATAAATATTAGAGAAAATAGCTAAAACATCGAAGTTTAAAATATCTTGTAACTAAGTGCTGTTTATTATGACGTACATGTCTTAAAATTAATACAAATAGGTAACAAAGTACATAAATATTGCTTTGAAATATTAAGTAAGGTTGTGGTTAAGGGCTACACCAGATCACTAATAATGTTTAGTATTACGCCACTAAGTAACGGTATAAAAACACATATTTATGGCTTCTATAAAATTACAAAGTTCTGTTGTAATTGAACATAAAAACGGAAGGTTTCTTCTGACTTGTTAAAGTACAAAAACTTCGAAGGGACACAATGGATGTCGTACAAAGCCCTTTGAATAATTAGTAACGTAATTCAGGCTTCTCGACAACCTCTTATAATAAGTTCTGACGAGGTTTAACATTTTTTACAATCATCGTTTAATTTCTAGAATAACTTAAGTTTAGCGCAAAGTACAAGCTATTATCCACTGGGGGATATGCTAAACTCAATTCCAAACACTGCTAAATAATTAATTACAACAGAAATGTCGATATCTATTTTTTAAGGTTTTGTCTTTACTATTAATCTGTTGTGTATACTAATATTAAATAGGGGAAAGATATACATTTTTGTATGCATTAAAATAGTTCAAAAACTACTAAGCTAATTTCAAAAATTCTTTCACCATTAGAAACCTACGTTATCAGTTGGTAAATAAGATTAATTCTATTCTTTTTTCGCAGAAATTAAAACTTGTATTAAAAAAATATTGACATTTACCAGCAATATCATCTTATACTACGACCTTCGCAACAATAAACAATAAAAACTTTCAAGGCGTTATCGTGATTTAAGAAAAAATCTACCTCTGACCATTGTAAAACTTAAATCGTAACGGAGGTCACAGCTAAAGGAAACCTTATAAAATCTCCTTAGCAATAAAGCTTCCTTTACAATGAAGTTTTCGACCTTTACTAATGAATAGAAATTGCACAAGCGACTTAAAGTTAAAATAAACAAACGAAAACAAATATCTTTTGAAATTAGTGAACAAAAGTACCTTTATTTCTATTACTTTAATGTCTTCACATTAAACGGCATTTTATTTCTTACGTTCAGAATAACATTTATGAAGATTTGATAAAAACATATTTTTCTCCTGAGATTACATTCACAACATAAAAATAATATCAAAAAGAACATGTTTATTTCGTTTCATGTTGTGTACCGTTTAATTCTAAGTAGATATTGACACTACATGAAACTAATGAGCGCTTACGTAGCTCGTCTGCCCTTGAGCATGTTTTCATATATGTTGTAGCTCCAGAGGGCGCTGTGTTGTGGGCGCTCGGCGCCTACGCTCTGTCTACGACCTGCGGCTACGAAACGCACAGTTCACATGAACACACAAACATGCGCCCACACTTTGAACAAACGTAATTGCCCCTTAAATAAAAACCCTAATACCTAAGAAAAAAAAATGGGATAAAATTAATTTTCATTTTCATTTTTACGTTTTTGACAAAAGGTTGTTATTTATTTAATTAGACGTTAAACTTCAAAGAGCCCCCTAAATAATTTCCGTTTTAAATGACAAGTGGAACAGGGCCGTTAAAACAGTCATATTTAACTGACAGAAAAAAATTGTCTACACAACCTTGTTTTAACTAAGTGCAGTTAACAATAAAGGTGTGTAACAAGTTCAAAACTTGTCTTCAAACATTCACCGTGGGAAACTTAACTAAGTGTAATTATTTCCGAGTGTCCGAAGTAACGATTCACGCTCCGACGCGACGGCGAGGCTTATAAAACAGCCACTTCACACGATGAAATTCTATGAACAAGAGCGACGATAGACCGACTACCAATCGTTTTAAAACAATTGTTTTCATATTGAGTTGTATAAATTCGTAAATACTACTCAATTTTAAAATTGAAAGTTGAACCGAGTACCTAAGGGATGATATTATTCTAAATACTTGAATGAAAAGAGTCTGTTAACGTATATGGTGTAGTTACCTGTACGGCAGGGTTGGCTCGGAAATAAGCGAAGAGTGCGACGGTAATGGCGAGCAAAGCCACGGCGTTGAGCACGAGCTGCGCCAGCCGGAACCTGTGGCCCGAGCCGGCGCCGGCAGCGCCCCCCGCGCCTCGCATATCCCGCAACATCTGACACAAAATATTTATCAACCACCTGTAATGATTATGAAAAAGTGAAAAACGCATAAGTAATATTTGTGTAGAGAACAAAGGCATCAAGTAAGAGCGAGATAGTGGCAGTGTGAAAGGGAGTCACGTGTGTGAGCTGTTAACGAGTTGCATCTCGCACAGATCTGCTGACGGAGAGCTTTGCAGACATTTTGCTAACATTGCAAGCTGCAAATTCAGATTGAAACATATTAGATTCTGAAGTGAGTTAAAAGTGCAAAATTTGAAAATAATATGAGAAATATGTTAGTAGTCGTCTCTGACGTAGGATGGATTAGAGTTTAAAATGTTTACACTCATTATGAAAATGTCGTACCACTGATACTAAATTCCTAATCTCATTTTCAATACTTATACTTTCGACAAGTTGTCAATCCTTGTCGACAATGTCACAAATTAAATGCAGACGTAGATGTGTTAAATAACTAGAAGAATCCCCATGTGTTAGAGTGCAGGCGGAGACATGTAAGTGAATAGAGCTGAACAAAGACAGCGCATCGTGCGGGAACACGGCTCGTTCAAAGCCGCCCTGAGAAGCGGGAGATTGTCTTTTGAATAAGTCATGACTCCTTTGAGACGGAGCCCACGTCATATGATGAGAATGTTCGCAGCCTACATATTGTAGCTTCTGGAAAGATCTAGTACAAAAGAAAGACCACGAAATTTATTTTTTATGGACTGAATATGCAAATGCACTAAATTATCTTTAGCTAATTCTTGATTATGTAAGCTTAGGTTGTTTTTATTTCAGAAGTAAAAAGATTTTTTTCCAGCGCTTGCTTGAAAGTAACAAAAATTGCGCTTATAGCCGTGAGCGCTTTCTGCTTTGATGAAATAAAAATGTCTTAACTTTATTCTTTTTAATTTAAGCAAAGCTTTCACATTGCGAGTGCTAATATTATTTTATGTTTTTGTCAAAGTGATAATTCCATGTGACAATGTTTTTCACAGTGGTAGAGCCCGCTTTAACATCTTCGCACGAATGGGCCGGCTCGTCCGGTGTAATACCACGACCACACAGAAAAAAGGCGTGAAGTGGAAGCAATTACGCGTTTCGTCTGTTGAGTGTGGTGCCGGAGGCCTAATTTTAGTCCCTTTCCCTTTTTACCCTTTTCTTATGAGGGAAGAATTAAAAGGAAAAGTGGATTTGACGGTGGAGGAGACGCATATAAAGGGGAAATGTCCTCTTTACGTGCGTCTCCTCCTCCGTCGATGAAGGGTAGGCAACGCATCTGCAATTGCGGATGTTTATGGGCAGCGGTCGCTTTCCATTTCGTTGGATTCAGGTGGCCGCTTGCTCGTTTGCCACCTTATATTATGTAAAAAAAAGTGTATTCTCCGACTGTATTATTCAGTAAGCAATGCAATAAAATGAGTATCGCAAACAATAAAACAACAATGTCATTTTTGCACAAATTGGAGTGCAACGTTGCAATGTGTGCAATGCCTCGTGCATTGAGGGGGCATCTAGCACGTGTAGCGGCGGCCCGCATTGATGTTTGCTCGGGGTAAGATCCCAAACTGCGGCCGGCAGACACATTTATTGACACAAGTTGTGCAATTAAATGCTCAGTCCGCAGTTCACGCTCCAAGCTTTCTAGTATTTCTGTTTACATTTACACTAGTAACGTCTACTGAAATCAAATATATCCTTTTCCAGGTTTTTTTAAGCGGACGGGGGGGGGGGGCACAGAACGTACTCTCCATACATCTGTATTAGCCCTCTTAATCGAATTGTGATTGTGTAAAAGTATATTCGTAAGAGTAATTTTTTTCATATATTTCATAATTTCACCATATTGAACACATGCTTGTATTTAATAAATAATTATGAGTTCCCTCTACTTACTGATGAAGTACCCTTCAACAAAGTGTAAAATGGAGTGTAAAATTTCACGATTTCTTAACGAAAATTAACTAAACGGGTTTATTATTTTAAGCTTTATTTGCAAAGTTATGTAAGAAGTTTGTAAGATAACCTAACAAACAAACTAGATCGATAGTTCAATTCAAAATTTAATTAATGGCAAGATATATGTGCAGAATCGGATATTGAAAACCATTATTTTATTCCTTCCCAAAGACTTTCCTAAGTTAGAACTAACCAAAATTAGATCCATTCAAATCGATCAAGTACTTTCTTTGTTCAATTCGGCATCATCCATGTAAAGCGAACAAACAATTTTGCTAGTGATCTAAATGTTTTAAACGTTATAAACGTTGGTTATATAAAAGAAGGAACTAAACTAAAGCCAAATATCATTATTGCAATAACAACTCAATGTACAGATATAATACGTCCGGCTGAGCTGCGGCGAACGAGCTCCCGGGCAGCATATTATGTTTGCTGAGACGAGATTGCAACGGCCTCGCCGATTGCTCGTTACTCCAACGACCACATGTCGCTAAATTTTCTACTCATATCATGGATTTAATTCATCGTAGCTTTACGTATTAAAGTCACATAAAATTACTTAGGTAAGTTCGTACTTTTTATGGTTTTGGAGGATTATTGACTATCAACTCAACTAAACCGGCTTAAATCTTATAATCGTTTCCTTGAATCGCTTCTCTTGTTATGTAAGCAATTTCAAGAAATGTTCTTGTGCTGTATTCATACCAATATACAGTTACATTTTATCCATTGTGTTTATATCAATAATTTGTAATTAGAAAATAACTAATCAAAAGATCTTAAGCTAAAAGCGTAACTTAAAGAAATTTACTTCTAATAAAAAATACTTGCTCGCTTTTCTGATTAAAATCCTTGCTCGCTTAAATGAAATAATCAGATAAATCCACATTTTCAATTTAATCCAGTCCGCAATCGAGATTCGTGATCAAATGAAGTGTAATTTACGGGAAACGCTTTCAAGTGTGAAATAAAATGCTCCACGCCGCAAGTGATACGCGTCGGACGTTGCTCTATGAAAGTTGCTATAAAATTAAATAAAAACGGGTATCGATTAGTTACCGGTTTTATTTAATGTTATAGTTTTTGACACAAAATGCTATCAAGCTAGACATCGTCTTATTCACCATGTCACGGAGGAGGATGATGGTCATCATCAAAAACAGATTTTATAATTCGTATTACTGGTCAATAGAATTGAATGAAGCCAGTAGTGGGCAGCTAGCCGCAGTTTTGTCGTGGCTCGGCCATTACAACGCGCGTGTAACTAAATGTTGCGAGGCTGTTATCCTCACAACGGTCAGCTGTGGTACTGTTCTAAATTTCATCTGACGGCTTAAAAGCGTTTTGTTGTGCAAATTACTACCTCTAACCATTGTAATAGGTATTTCACATTTGAAATACTATAAATAAAGTAAATCTGCTTTTATTATTTGTTCTAAGCTGTGTGTTAAATGTATGTATAGTATTGTTAGTTATAATAATTAATTTTAAAAGTATAAACAATAGGCAGATATAAGTGAAGTTAATTGTGTCTAAGTAAATGGTGTCTTCATTTAATACTTATTACAAAACTTGGAACAATAATTTATCAATGTTATTGATCGAACCAATCAAATGAATATTATTTATAACACGGCTAAAACTCACGTGGGAACTTTCGGTGTAGGCACCGACCAGTTTCTGAATCTTTTCCAGAATCAAATGAAATTTAACAATTCTCAAACTACGAATTTTGTACAACATGACTATGTCGACTATTTATACCCATATTTCAAGTAGCGCGTTATTCGTGTCGATGAAAGCTCCTATAGCACATGAACGTGGAAACTTTCAAAAGCTTCGTATGCCAAACACCGGACGCTTCAAAATCAGAAGTTGTTCAACAGCCGCGGTCGACTCCACTCTCAAATATAATTCTTGTCGTACATTATAGGTAATGTTTTGGTGATCTAGGATCTTCTGTAAAATGTATTACCTAACATAATCAATTCAGTAATATACGTAATTGTTTTGTTATTCTTAACTATAGGTAAAGTAAATCTGTCTCATTAGGTTCATTATTTCATATTACAATTGCAGTAATCATTGATTTGTGACTAAATTGTGTCGTTTGTTAGGCATGATATAGGACTCACCCGGTGGTGTAGCGACATGTTGCTGCCGTTCTGGAACCTGACGATGGTCTGCAGCGAGGCCGGCGTCGACATACTCTTCGTTATGGAGCTGCTCCCGGACTCCTTGTCTTGTTGTTCCTTCAGCAGCAAGCCGCGCGCTATTTTAGCATTCAGGCTCTTGTTGGCGTTTTGATGCGGAAGTAGCGGCGTCTCCATCGTCTTTGTGGTGTAAGAGGGCGAGGAAGTCTGGCTAAAAGAATCAGAGGACACGTTGGAATCTTGGCGGACACTGATATTGGAGCCGGAGCTCGGGGAACGCTTGATCTGGTTCTGCGGCGGTATGTAGGGTGTGTCTGGCATCTTTTGAGGCGGCCTTCTCAAGGGCGGCGGCTGCGGGTTCTTGTTGCAGTCGAGACGTGCCGGCTGCGTCGGCGTAGGTGTCGGTGTCGCCATTGGGAGCACCGTGCGTCGGTTGCCGTTGGGGTCTGTCGGAACGGCCGGTTGCGCGGGTCGCGGCGGCGTAGGCGGGGGCACGCGACGCGGCGGTTGCGGCGATGAACGGCGCGGCGGCGCGGGTGGAGGCACGGCCAACGCCACCGGCGTCACCGCGGGGTTCGCTGATACTGGCATCGTGGCCGCCGCGGGGGGCACCGGTAACACGCGCTGCGGCACCGGTGGCGGTTGGGCGGTTGGCGCCTGCGGCGGCGGAGGTAACTGTCACAAAAAGATTAGAATTAAAAAAAAACAGATTTTTTGACAGAATTTTTGAAAGTACATTTTTGTTTTGTCTAAAATTTGACAAAGATAGAGCTTTTATTCCGATCTACTAACAATTATTATATTTAAATACAGCTAAACAATATTAATAGGCCCGGGAACATAGCGATGTTGGGCTTAATAAAATTGTATTATCAAAGCAATCAATGTCAATGAAGACATCTAAACGTACAGTCTCGTAGCGGCTCGTAGCGGCTCGTAGCGACTCGTAGCGCCGGTGAAACAATTAATCACCCTTATTGTTCTTATATAAATCGATAGCCCGCCGAGGATCCTTTGAATGTTGGCAAAGAAAGCCGGTAATAGAGGATATTTTAATACTCTTTGTACAATATATTATTTTACATTCAGCAACAATAGCCGCCGCATTGAGTAGCTAATTATAATGACTTTGAGAAGGATCGATGAAGCTGAGAGAAAATCTTAAGAGTAGCGCAGCTCACTGAGCGCAATTTCGGCCGAATCTATGTCGACAAGCAAACTTAATATTTAACAGTTTTGTACCATTACCATGCGTCGGACGTTTATTAAATTTGTTTTGTGTATTTATTCAAATAACTCTAAGACACTGATCGCATCGCTTTTTTCCTCATTGAATTCACACTCTTGAACATTGATTTGAAAAAATCAAAAGAGAATGAATATCTAAGACAAGAACATTACTTTTTTAGGTGATAACGCGTTCTGTAGAAGGAATTGGAAAGGATATGTCCAACAGTGGATAGATAAAATGTAATGTTGCTGATAATGATGATGTATGCAAGCACCTTGACGTGTGGCCTGGGCGGCGCCAGTCTCGAGGGCGGGCAGTAGGGCAGCGCGTCGGAGGGGCAGTAGACGAAGCCGGCGGGGCGCGGTGGCGGCGCACACGCGGCGGTAGAGTGTCGGCGGGGCGCGAGGGGCCCGTCCGGCCCCGCGCTTGGCCGCAGCAGCTCGAGCAGCCGCTCACCTGGCGTGACCGCCAAGCTGCCGGCTCGTCCGCATCTGCTCGCGTACAAAGCCACAGTAACAAAAACTAGACAATGGTCTGCAACTGACTGACTTCATTTACATAGTGAAGGTAAACATGGTAAGAAATCATGAGTACAAATAAACAGCTGGAGTCGGATGTCCGCGATAATGTACCGGTAGCGAAGCCGGTGATTGCCTGTCAGTTGTATACTGTGAGCGGTTGTCGCGGAGGTTAACGTCAAGCGGAGTGCGGACACGTGCCGGAACCTTTGATAAGAGATAATTGTAACCTATTACCGCCTTCAACTGAACTCATTATCGCGCTACGAATAATTAATATGTGGTCACTTAACAGATGAGCCGCTTGCTCGTTTTCCACCTCTTGTTGTAAAAAAAAAACCAGATTATATGGTCATCAAATGAATACGACGAATATCAAAAAGTTTGGATTTCAATGAAATGGTCATCATAACACCGTCAGTAACGCGCCCGCATTACACAGCTGTATTGCCCTTATGGCACATACGAGTATACCATTCATTGAAACGATAAAAGATAAAAAAAGTTTTCGTTCGATGAAATTTTAAAACATGACTTTATGTCATTAGGCTGGTAATAGCCGCGAACAACCATTGGGCACATCAGCTGACACAATTAGAGGCCGCCTAATGTCCAACTGATTGAGTTTGACCCGATGTAAATAACATTAGCAATAGGGCTGTCACTAAAAAATAAAATATATCAATACATGTATATTTAGAAAATGTAGATAAGAATAGTGTAATATAAAAATATTGACGAGGTTCATTGTTATTGACTTGCTTTAAAAAAGCAATTAAAAGCATTTTTGAGGTGTTTAAGATTATAGTTTTTAGGGTTAGACATGAAATAAAATATATCTAGGTTACATGTTGGCCGCTCGCCAGCTTGGCCGGTCTACAGAGAAAAATAATATCTTGTACAAAGACGAAGATATTACCTTGAATGTTCTATTGTATTATTCCTCGGAAGTCTCACACAGCACGAATATACGATGAAAGCATCTACTTTGTAAAGCAAATCTTTACTGGGAAAAGGTAGATATTTCTTATGAAATACACATATAATTTAGCTATTCATGTGATTTTTACACAATACAGAATGTATTATTTATTACTTGTAACAAAATTACGATTTTCTTTTTATTCAGGTCATCCAAGCTTCGGTAAATACCTGGTAACAACCCTACTGATTCCATTTAAACATTTCCCCAGTCGTTTAAAAGAATCAACATTTTGATTGATTTAATTACAGTGTGTAATATTTTAATATGTTTTTCTCACTTTCAGAAAAATGTTTGTTGTTTGCAAATGTATGATTCCATTTATAAATAACGTTAGGTAAATGGGTTTCGCGGAACAGCTACTGAATGAGATATCTTTACTATTTATGTTTGTAAGCATGGAAGTCAATGATATATCGATTCAGGTTCACCATAACATTTGATATAAATATTCTTATACAGAGTAAATTAAAATAAGGATTTTTCTAGTGAATATGCCTACTGCATTGTTTGTTACCCGACTTAAGATTAAGGAGAGGTAATATATGTTTTAATTACAAATGAATTGTGACCTCCAGTAAACTAAACAAATGGGACTCACCGGTTCCTGGCAGGGTCAGAGTCGTCTGCGGCGGCCGGCTGCAGCTGCATGCCGCTCTGCGCCCACGTCACCGTCAGCCAGTCTGCGATACTTTAATTGTTAATATTGACATCACGTGTACGAAAACTGCAATTACTGCACTGGATTTGCAACTTATTAAACTAAATTTATTACTCTATCACGTCTTTCTTTTGAGAGGTTCTAACTCTACGTAATGTTAATAAAACAAGCTGGTTCTATACATATTGCATGAATCCCTCATATATTTCTAACTAAAGAGATTTTTTCCGTTTTCAACGCCACTTCAAACAGGATATTTAAAAATAAATGATACATAAAGTTTCCTTTCAAATCACTAAGCACACTAAAATCAGTTTTTGATGTAATTATTTGCTCGATCCTGAGCAATTTCATTTAATGAAAATTCATAATTCTCTACTAAAATATCCTCAAAAGTACGTAAGTAAACCTACGCTTTACGGAGTAAAGGACTGACATTTAAGTAAGATGAGACCTTCTGTAATGGATTGGAGGAAAATTTAAATAAGAAAAATATATTTACCGCATCAAGTACAAAGCTAAGAAACATACTTTTAATATTTAATGAATGATGATATAAAAGGTGATCAGATATCTAAGCGCGCTCTAAATAAAGAAAGTTCGGAAAAATTCATTGCAGAGTAAATATCGCCATGTTTCATTAATGCGGAAAGTATAGGAAACTTGTCACCGACACGAGCTCGTATAGAAAGTTGAATTATTGCCGCCAGGTGGACCAGGTGGGCCAGGAGCCGCGCACTCCGTACGGCGCACGGGGTTTTATACGAAAAGAGTTTGGTTATTACTAAACTGGGGCTCCCGATAGCTTGGTCGAGTAATTTACGAAATGAATTATTACAACAGCTGGGACATAATATGAACGTACAACGTATAAATAATGAATATAGTCGCTCCTAACACGTGTGCGTTTACATAAAATAAAATTAAAGGCTTCTCAGTATACTTCGTACTGTTGGCTTGAGGTGAACATTTCCAGAGAGACAGACGTGTCAACAAAATAGTAAGAAAATAAAGTTCCATTGTCGATTTTCAAAAACACATGGGAATATAAGGTCAAATTAAAGAAAACATACGGAGGATTTGTTAAATATATGGAACTACATTTAAAGATATAAATAGTGGCGTAATAAGATTTTTACTTCGTTGCTGCATTGGTTACTACGGATATCTGCGAAAAGGCAGATAAAAACGATTCAGAGAAATAGCATATAAGCTATTGATTCAGATATTATGGGCGAAATTAATTAAAAGGTGTTTTATAAATTTTGTAAGTTTTTTAAATAAGTTAAATGGCCTGATCTAATGGTAATAAAGTGGTTAAGCCAATAATTTTCTTATGATATAATTTATTTCTTGTTATAGAATCTTTCTTTGAATAAATCTACAGTTATATTGAATTATACAGACGAGACGCGGCCGTACGCAATTTGACGAGGGTCTGCTCTCGGCTGCCAGTTTATTTGCTAATAGGACAAATTCTCTATTAGTTTTTGTTTTGATACGTCAGTCAGCTCCAACGAGCGCCGGTGCTAATGATTTAAGTTATATCCGTGACGTCACCGGATCCTGTTACAATGAAATGGACAACAAACTTTTATGTACATCGTAATATAAATATATTTTTTTTTTATGTCAGAGTTAAAACGAGATATTAAGAAACACAAATATAACCGAAGGTAATTTTGTAAAGGTCATTTATATTGTAAAACGCAGGATATTTAAGTCATGATATACTTGATTTAAATATGAATTAGGCGAAGAGGACCCACGTAGTCGTCAATTTATGTGGCGCGTGACCATACTATATCCTGCCGGTTATCCTGTACGATCAGACCTCGCCGCCCCCCGCCGTCCGTCCCCCACGACCCTTAGGTATGTTTCATTAAATCGGCAGCCGTGGCTCGAGATCTTAATGCTTGTTATTATAGGACTCCGACGGTCGATTTACAAACATAGGTTTACAATTCAATAGAAATTGATTGAAATTCTACAAATGATTTAGAAGATGCATAAAACTACATCTGTCTTCAATCTGTCCAGTTACAGCAATATTTTAGAATGTAATCTACTGTCGAGAAACATCCTACAAATCTTATGCTTATCTTTTTTTAACTCTGCTTATTCCTTAGTTATCAATAATCTGTATTCCTACGGAGAGGTAAATAATTCCTTCTTTAAAATGAACTTACTGACTCTGTTATTCAGTTTTCATCGACTGTAATAAAACAGTTTAATAATTAAAGTGAAAGTTGTGCAGTATCGGGGCGGAGCGAAGCAACTTTAGCTCGTAAACATTTAATAGCTGCGTAGACCGTGTCCACACGTGTTGCTCTCAAACTCAAGCACTCACTCAATACTAGCTTAGACCCGAGCTTAATTACTTATAAAAACTTTGTGTCTGAAATGTACATTATTACAAAGTAACTGCTCACTCCAGTTTTCAATTGTTACAATGTAAAGACCATGTTAGGAAAAAATGCAAAACCATATGATATTTGATGCACTAATAACAAATAAGTATGGAGTCTCATTGGAAGCATTACGACGAATATATTCATTTTTTTTTAATCTTTCGTAAAGATGACTAAAGTCGTTCTGTTCCTTAACTTGCAAACCAACTAAGCTCTCGTGCATTTACAATCAGCTAAAATTTACAGCTACAATTTAAATTATCCTAAACCTTAAAATTGCTTTTAAAATACCTTTATGAGAACCGCTGTTCAATGGAAGTTCTTAAAGATGTTAAATGAAGGAATATTGAATAGTAATGGGCCTCGACCGGGGCAATCAGACAAAGTCAAGTCTCGGGGCAATAGAGCTGAGCCGATTCCAATATCAGCAGTTGGGGGAAGTAATAAATCTGCTGGAGCGGGGGCAAAAAGGGGGCGGGGGTGAGATGAATTTGGTACTAGGTAAGTTATAGTTCTGAATAGAATTAAGACAGTAATGTCTACGCTATTATAACACAAAACACAGGAAAGTTGATCAGATTGTTTGTCAATTTATGTAATAATTAGGAAAAGTTTGGATGGATGGATAGATGGATGTTTGTTACAGTTTGTAGCCTAAACGATTGAACGGATCTCGATGAAATTTAGCATCGATGTAGAGGATAGTCTTTTTTTTAAATTCCACGTTGGGGGAGTCGCAGGCGAAAACTAGTAAAACTATAAAAGTATGCCTGAATTTCTGGAAAATGAAATGGAAATGAAGGAACGTATGACGTACAAGTACATGTTTATTGATATTAAATTGCATTAATCTTGCCAATTGTGCGGCAAAGTACTCGTAATTAGAGCAATTATATTAACTTGAACTAGGTCAATTAAATTATTTAATCTGTGTAGTCTGCGCAATAAATCGATTCTATAAGTATTAAACATTTCTCGATCCCCGGATATCCGGTGAAAATGTCGTTTGTTTTATGAGAAGAATGGTGATCGGTGTATCCATTAGCCGCACTAAGGTACCAGCTAATGGCTTCTCTGCGAAATCCGGATTAGAGAATAGAATAATGAATTGTTCAAAGAATGTACGTTCTTCCATATTGCGATCTAATAATACTGTTGTTTGGAGGAAATTATTTCATGATAATACTACAAATGAATTAGGAAAAAGTATCAAAAAATAATTATTGACATTAAATATAACTACGTTTTATTTCCTAATTACAAAGATAGGTTTAACAAATGTTGAGGTATGATATTCCTAGGTTCAAAAGCTACTAAAGCTTGCACTTGTATCACTCGGGATTACCAAGTCGTTGTTAACTTTAATGTAAAACGTTAAATTGAGTATTGATATGAATCGAAAGCTCGCAACATGTTTAGCACATTGATTGTTTATAGAATTTTTTTTTTTAAACCTTTTACTGTATCGTCTAATTAAGACTAACAGAAACCTTACGAATACTAATTAATTAAAATCCTGGTTAGGTATTCATTTAAAATATCTTATAAAAGACCTGCTAAGAAATTTTAATACTTTCAAAAGTATTCCTAGTGACAAAGCTTTTATAAGCTTCTGAAGTCCTTCCAATGCATTTGTGGGTATTAGAGCTTACGCGGTTAGCGTACATTGTTCTTATAATAACATTTTAAAACCTTTTTATTTGACTTTTTTTTTAAATTTGAAAGCGTAGATTCAAAATCTGTTTGCAAAATCATTTCTGTATGTGAATTTGAATAATACAATTTTAATAGAAACAAGACGATGTTTATAAAACCCTTCGCGTGATGTTTTACTCTTAAAAGAAATGTATTCAGAGAAACGCGCGAAACTAATGGAACAGAGGTTAAAGGTGTTTGCATATGTACGAGTACATACATCAAACAGTTCTTACGTCGTTCACATCTTTGCTTGAGAACCACCTTAAAAGGGTATAAATCTACAATCTTTATACATAATTATCTACGTATTCGCTGAAGGGATGTAATATGTTTCAATTATTATTATTCATTTGTTTCTTAATGATTAAAATTTATTAGTATTTTAAAACCTGCTGTTCCTGACATCGCGTTAACTTGGAAAAGAGCAGGAAAATAACGACGGAGAAAAGAATTCATTCTCAAATTTGGTTTATAATTTAACAAAATATTTTAATTACGCATTTAAAACGATGCTTCGAAGATTTTAAAGTTCTGCCAATGTTGATGAAATTAAAATTCTTAAAGCCAACGAAACAAATTCTTAAGTCAAGAAAAAAACTCCATTTTCAACTTGACAGAACTTAAACAATAAGTCTGAAAGATCCGTTAGAGAAAATATAAAGATAATAGCAGATTTTGCATTGTGTAAAGAAGAAAAAAAATGGTTAAGGCAAATTTAATTATGAAATTATTACCACAAATATTTGCACACACAAATATTCGTTAAACACAAAATAAAACGTTCGACACAACATCGCCGATAAAATTTAATTAAAGCGTCTCTTGTATAGGCCCGACGATTTGTTTGAACAAAAAATTTTATTGAGCGTGTTATAAACCTGAAATAGTTTTTAAATTACAAGAGAAATAATATCCCGGAGAACCTCGAATTCATTGACTTTGCATTCGGCGCAGTAGTGTAGTAACTTCACCTCACTGAACAACTAATCTGACAGATTTCCTAATTTTACAGACGAATAAGATGACTATTAAAAAAAGATGCCGTTACTCAATTTAAAGGTTGCTATTTTACAATGTAATTTAAATAATATCGTAGAAAACACTGTTATCAGTTAAATCTCCGGGGCACGATGGCCTTAGCATAGAACACCTACAACATGCCGGTGATCACTTGCCGAGAATCTTGGCTATGTTTTTTACGCTCTGCATACGTCACACATACTTGCCTACGGACTTAACTAGAACGGTGGTAGCCCCAATCATTAAAAACAAAACCGGGGATCCCTCTGATACATCTAACTATAGGCCAATTTCTTTGGCCACAGTCATTGCCAAAGTATTGGATGGGCTGCTCGATAGACTCATGGCGAAACACATTAGAATACATGACGCACAGTT